ACACTGGTATGCTTATGGTCTGTGGTTGTTTTAGCTAGACCATGGCTGTATATTTTTGAAAGATTATATAAATCCAAATCCACTCTGAGTATAGTATTATGGTTGTAAGCGACAAGCGAAAGTACCTTGACCAGGCTTGAGTGGATCACCTCCACCCAATTACTGCAAGCGCCGCTTTTGGTGCATCATTTCAGTGCTGGGTCAGCTTTTTGCACGATTGGTGAGACCCTACAGGCGATTGCCGTTGTCACTGGCAGCTCTTGTTGATCCTTCTAGGTCTATGAATGATAGACAACAGATGGCTGAATCAACTCTGGCATTGAAGGAGTGCTGTGTTGACGAGTATTTCTCAGCACCTGTGCTGGAGTGTATGAAGCAAGCTGGTGGGAGTTCCGCAATTCTTCCAGGGAGAGGAACCGCTTTCATGTCTGATCTGTCCTTGGCATTCCAGGGGAAGACATCCAACCTACAACTGGAACTCAACTTCTCCCGTGCAGCGTCTCAGCGGAAGTGCATGCGAGGAAGAAAGCGCGTCATATCATCCATGACTTCAAAGCACTTGACTTCAGAGTGCAAAGTTGCTCATATGCAGAACCTTGTGCCAGATACTGGAAATTCTTCGAGTGCTTTGGCTGTGCAAGCATGTTTTTCCTGCTAGGTTCAAGGAGTTTAAAGTTTAAGTTTAAGGGTATAATGCACTTTTATGCAGACAATTTGTTTGCTTTAGGCTTTAGACTTTATGCTTTTCATTGAATGAATCGGTATGTTTTATAGGAGGGACTTGGTTAGTGCTTGTGGGTGCTGCTGAAGTTGCCTAAGAGTGAACATGAGCAGTGGAAAGACCCAAGGCAAAAGCTCGCGGCAGACCGGGTTCACTTTGTTTCTCAAAGAGTTCTATGAGAATAACAAGGAGAATGCAAATCCAAATCCAACTTCAACAGATGGCGGCAATGATTCCGATGAGCATTGGTTTCAAAGGAGGATGCTCTTCCTAATCAACATGACCTTGGAGATTTGCTTGTTTTGCGAATGTTTGAGCACAATGTTTGACGTTCACAATGTTTGAGATTGTTTATCTCTCTAGGGTCATTGTTAGGACATGTCACATAGTCAACGACCAATATTCTTATTGTTGTATATGAAGAACACATAAGTTGCAATTGATTGAGCTGTCACTGAATCACTGTCTCAGGAAATCATTATCTGCAGATGCAGCGCGAGAGTGGAAGTCAGAGACAGATGAGATGCAACATACAAGGGCAAGGCTTTCAGCAGAAGCAAAGAGGATCAACAAAGTCAGAAACACTGAACGTGCAAACTTGCTTTCTCAACAAGAGCTTCGAAGCAAGTGCAAAAAGCAGGATACCGTTGATCTGGAACAACAACAACTCTCTTTGTTGAATGCAACTTTCAATACAGGTTTGCTTTGCCCTGCTGGTGAGGGAGCAATGATTACGAAACCTTCTGCCAGTTGCCCCATTGCATTGGCATCATATGCATCTGCAAACTCCTTGGTGTGCCCAGTCAGCAATCATGTGGTTACTGCAGTCGCTGGAGATGTGGTGCAAGCTTCCAGCGATTTTCTCAGCAATGTTGCAGATGCGAAGCCTTTGGCACGCCAGTCTGAGTCTCTTGTTGCAAAGGCGCTGCAATCTCCTGAGATTGATATGTCATTGGTTGATGACCTTGTTTCTTCAAGAAGAGGAATTCATGGTTTTGGAGACAGTGACTTTGCAATCTCTGAACATTTGATTGAATCTGCTTGCCAGCATGTTGGGTTTATCGAGCAGTCCAACAAGCAGTTCAAACTGGAGCATGATTCGGTAACAACAAAAAACACAAAGGGCTTTGATATTGACGAATCAAGAGGAGTTGAATGTTCGCAGCATTGTCAAAGGGTGTTTGGCCGCTATTGCAAGTCAGACATCAAAGACGTGACCAAATTCAACAATTCAGTCGGACTAGTAAAGTCTATTGTCAGGGTGTTAGCATCCAAGCGCACTGTGAAGACTGGTGGAGCAACACTGTTCATGGGACCAGACACACCTTGGCCAGTCCTGCTCATTCATTTTGGTCATGCTCAATCTTCTTCAGAGTCCCTTCAAGCACGACTTGCGTTCCGGGTGGCTTTCAAGCCTCTTGAAATGGACTTTGTGCATTTGAAGCAACGCTCGCTTGGGAAGGATTCTGAAGATGGTTGCCTCTACTTCAGCATTGTTTATGAGACATTGCCTTGCAGCAGGTTCAACTGCCCCAAGGTTGAGATGATGAATGAATTTGCCGTTTGGTTCTCACAGCTGCAGGATGGTATTCGGTGTGAGGTCTTTTGGGACTATGATGTCATTGAAGGACATTCTGTGCTCAGAATACGGCGAAATCAACATCAATGTTCATCAGCCTTGGGAATCGGTGAAGACAGTTTTGCTTCTTTGCTTCCAGCAAAGGAGAAACCGCCAGCTGATGATCCAGATGTGCAAGCGTTGGCATTTGCTTCTATAATGCTCAAACACATGACCAAGCCTGCAGTGAAGGCGACCAAAACAAGGCAGCCACATAACAAGAGTACTGGTTCCAGAATGCGTCCAGCCAACAGGAAACGTAACTTGGCCGAATGGTTTGCATTTCAACTGGAAATAAAAACCTCAGGGACCTAAGGGATATCGCAATAGTTCACCCTAGTTTGAGTGCAGGTGTGATATATAATGCTTTTGTACATACATAATACATATGCAATGTTATTCACTTGTGTATTGGTGCAGTATATGATATTAAATATATAGACTATGACTATGACTATATTTATTTTTGCTCAATGAACCCAAGGTACCATTGATCAAGTGTCTGATGAGTGCATTTTGCAGCAAGACCAACATGAACCAGGTGAACTGGCAGATGACGAGCTGGAGGATGAGTGGTCCAAACTTGTGGAACAACGATATGGTCATGGTGAGCAGAGTGCAAATGCTGCACAAACCAAATCAAAGTCATCTACCTTGGCTTCATCGTCTTCTGCTTGTCCGCCTGAAGGCAGTTTGCCAGTCTTCAAGGGAGTGAATGATAGAGTGTTTCAGAGAAACCCTGATGGAAGCACGAAAGCTTTGGGTGCTTTGGCTGTTGTGCTATTGGTGCTGTTCTTGTTGGTTTTTGTAGTTTTTCTGGCTATGATCATTTTTTGGGGGACTCTTAGGTAGGATCACTGAATGGCGTGAGGGGACAAGTTCACACTCTGTGTCTATCGCTTGCTACATCCACAAGCACTGCAGCAAAGCAGTGTTGGTCTCAAAGTTGCCATTTGGATCAGAAGCTCTGTTGTTTCAGTATCTTCAAGAGGGTCTTCGATTTCCAGAACGCACTGATGCCAAGAAACACATGGAAATGCTACTTGAAGTTCAGCTTAAATAGCGGTTTTCCTATGTCAATGTATTGTCCTATGTCAGCAGTGACATAGTCATAGTTATATGTTATATATTGTAATAGTTATTATGCAAAAGGACATTAGGGTTGTTCAGCTCAGGTTTGAGGCGATTGTCTTTGGAGATGTCGCCAATCTACAGCCTGAGAGATAGGCCACGATTAATTTAAAATCATTTGCAGTGAAATGTAGATTCGATCTGTGCAGTGAAGGGGTGGGGATAGAGATCGACTACTCAAAAAAATGTGGCTTCTTAAGTGCAGTGCAGATTGTCTTTGTCTTTGTCACATAGTGAATATTGTGCATGTTTTTGAAGAACATTTATTTTTGTTTGTGCAATACTGACTGTCGGCTATGTTTATGTTTATGTTTGTTTTTACATATTGTTTGTGATGTGTTTTCTTTATTTGGCTCAGCTGCTTGCTTGCTTTTCCTTGTGAGAGCTAGTTGATTGAAAGTAGTAGAGGCTTGAGGTATCAATGAATTCAGGGTGTGCGCCTGATGACAACCAGTCAGTGGTTCCTTCTCCTGCAGAGGGTTGGGCGCCACCTCAAGGATATCGTGTCAAAAGGTGTAAGTACTGTCGCACCTATTCCTGGCAGCGCACTCCTTTACCACTTGGAATAGATCCCGCCTGGGACCCAATCACTCCTTGGTATGACGGCACCTCAACTGTAGATTGCAATGTGAACGTGTAAACAATGACTGTGAGCACACCATGAGTTTAGTATATCCAAGGCAAAATCAATACACCTCGTGGATTGATATGCCGTATTTGCGCGTCTGTTTTGACCTCAGGGCAACACCAATGTTATTTTTAAAAGTTGGGATTGCTGACATCTTTTCCTTTTGCTTTCTGCAGATGAGCCCTTTCCACTCTCTGGTATCCAGGCTGAATGTACTCCAACTGACTTCACCGGATTTGACAAGAAGCTGGCTTCAAACCCAACACTTCTGCACAAGTTTTTGGCAGCTTGAAATGAAATAGATAGAACCACACTAATCGAAGGCTTTGATATTTTTTAAATTTGATTCTACTAACTAGTGTACCATTACTTGTCAATTGTAATGTACTTGTTGTACTATATAGTGTACTATACATTGTACCCCGTGTACTGTACTTGTTGTACCTGTCGTACCAGTTGTACCGTACCTGTCGTACCACCCCTGTCGTACCAGACTTAAGGCCCCCCCCTAAGGCCCCCCCTGGGATACGTACCCTTATTAAATAAATAAGGGTACGTATCCCAGGGGGGGG